CAAAGGGGTCACGGACCTCACGGGGTAACTTTTGAAAAAACACAACCTACAAACAGTATTCAAGCCCACCACAAAAATACAACAAATGTTACGGTCAGCAACGGACAGAAGGGACCCCCTCACCACTGCAAGAGTATACCGGATACCTTGCAGTTGTGGCCAGGTATATATTGGAACCAGAAAACGAAGCATCCACACCAGAATCAAAGAACATGAGAGACACTACAGACTAAAACAACCAGAAAAATCTGCAGTAGCTGAACATGCCCTAAAACAAACTGGACATGAAATTCTATTTCAAAATACCGAAATACTGGACAACACCAGCAATCATTACCTCAGACTGCACAGGGAAGCCATTGAAATCCACAAGCACCAGCAGAACCTCAACAAAAAAGAGGAAAGTTTGAAACTCAATAAAACTTGGCCCCCAGCTCTCAAAACTACAGCGTGCGAAAGGTCAACAAACTCTAACCAGCCACAAGGACTGGGGACACACTGATCACCATAATCACCCATCGCTTGAAAAGGACATAAGCTGATCTCACAACCAAAAATAGTCACCTCCCAAACCAACAGCACGAGAGCACAGAGTCCTCTCCTCTGAAGATGCCGGCCACAGAGACTGGCGAAACGTTAGGAAGAACAACCTTCAGAACTACTAATGGAAATTTCCTTTTCAAGCACTAAGCTTATAAGCCTCATGAGGTGACAAATTTAAACGTTAGGAAGAACAACCTTCAGAACTACTAATGGAAATTTCCTTTTCAAGCACTAAGCTTATAAGCCTCATGGGGAAGGATGACAAATTTACTCCATAATGTAATGTCTAACAATTGCTGTCTTCTCTGAAGTAAACAGAAACAAGTTTTAATTTGCATTCATAAAAACGGTGTGTCACATTCTTACACTAACATACCCACAGTTCATTAACATTCAGAATCAAATACTTCTCAAGGACTACACTGCTGACTGCTGTCTTGCATTTCCTTTTCTTTGGGATAGTTTTTATTGCTGCTTCCTGTACAATGTTACGAGCCTCCATCCAGAGTTCTTCAGCCACTCTGTCCACCAAATCGAGTTCCTTAAATCTGTTCTTCCCTTCCACTGTGTATTCATAAGGGATTTGGTTTAGATTATACCTGACTAGCCCAGTGGTTTTTCCTGCTTTTTTCAGTTTAAGCTTGCATTTTGCTATAAAAAGCTGATGACCAGAGCCACAATTAGCTCCAGGTCTAGTTTGTGCTGACTGTATAGAGCTTCTCCATCTTTGGCTGCAGAGAACATAATCAATCTGATTTTGGTATTGCCTATCTGGTGATGTCCATGTGTAGAGTCGCCTCTTGTGTTTTTGGAAAACAGTGTTTGTGATGGCCAGCTTGTTCTCTTGACAAAATTCTATTAGCCTTTGCCCTGCTTCCTTTTGAATTTGAAAGCCAAACTTATCTGTTGTTCCTTTCATCTCTTGACTCCCAACTTTATCATTCCAGTCCCCTATAATGACAATAACACCTTTCTTTGGTATCAGTTCTAGAAGGTATTGTAAGTCTTCATAGAATTGGTCAATTTCAGCCTTTTCAGCATCGGTGGTTGGTGCATAAACTTGGATTACTGTGATGTTGAAAGGTCTGCCTTGGATTCATATTGAAAT